TAGACGGTAGTTGTATTCGGAAGGCCATGTTGACCGATATTTCTTTTCCTGATTTATCTTCCAAACGGTCAGCCCAGGTAACTAATTATAAAATCACTGGAACTGTGAAAATACTTTATCAAGAGCATACATCAACATGATGAAGTAAGACCTATTGTAATGTACATGTTTTTGAATGCACCAGCCAAAATAGTCAGGTATCAGATCTGTCAGATTGTATAAAAGTTACAGTAATATCACATATAGGTCAAATCAGTCCTGTCAGATCTTAGAGACTGTATAACAGTTACAATAGTATTACATACAGGTCACACCAGCCCTGTCAGATCTGTATTATATACAGGTCACATCAGTCCTGTCAGATCTGTATTACATACAGGTCACATCACTCCTGTCAGATCTGAGAGACTGTATAACAGTTACAACAGTATTATATACAGGTCACACCAATCCTGTCAGATCTGAGAGACTGTATAACAGTTACGATAGTATTACATACAAGTCACACCAGTCCTGTCAGATCAGTATTACATACAGGTCACACCAGCCCTGTCAGATCTGTGTTATATACAGGTCACATCAGTCCTGTCAGATCTGTATTACATACAGGTCACATCAGTCCTGTCAGATCTGAGAGACTGTATAACATTTCCAATAGTATTACATACAGGTCACATCAGTCCTGTCAGATCTGAGAGACTGTATAACAGTTACATTAATATTACATACAGGTCACATTAGTCCTGTCAGATCAGTATTACATACAGGTCACACCAGCTCTGTCAGATCAGTATTACAAACAGGTCACACCAGCCCTGTCAGATCAATATTACATACATGTTACACCAGTCCTGTCAGATCTGAAAGACTGTATAACAGTTACATTAGTATTACATACAGGTCACATCAGTCCTCTCAGATCAGTATTACATACAGGTCACATCAGTCCTGTCAGATCTGAGAGACTGTATAACAGTTACATTAGTATTACATACAGGTCACATCAGTCCTGTCAGATCAGTATAACATACAGTTCACCCCAGTCCTGTCAGATGTGAGAGACTGTATAACAGTTACATTAGTATTATATACAGGTCACATCAGTCCTGTCAGATCTGAGAGACTGTATAACAGTTACAATAGTATTACATACTAGTCACATCAGTCCTGTCAGATGTGAGAGTCTGTATAATAGTTACAATAGTATTACATACAGGTCACACAGTCCTGTCAGATCAGTATTACATACAGGTCACATCAGTCCTGTCAGATCAGTATTACATACCGGTCACACCACTCCTGTAAGATCAGTATAACATATAGGTCACATCAGTCCTGTCAGATCAGTATTACATACAGGTCACATCAGTCCTGTCAGATCTGAGAGCCTGTATAACAGTTACAATAGTATTATATACAGATCACACCAGCTCTGTCAGATCAGTATTACATACAGGTCACACCAGCCCTGTCAGATCAGTATTACATACAGGTCACATCAGTCCTGTCAAGTCTGAGAGACTGTATAACAGTTACATTAGTATTACATACTGGTCACATCAGTCCTGTCAGATCTGTATTACTTACAGGTCACATCAGCCCTGTCAGATTTGAGAGACTGTATAACAGTTACAATATTATTTCATACAGGTCACATCAGTCCTGTCAGGTCTGAGAGACTGTATAACAGTTACAATAGTATTACATGCTGGTCACATCAGTCCTGTCAGATCTGAGAGACTGTATAACAGTTACGGTAGTATTACATGTTGGTCACATCAGTCCTGTCAGATCAGTATTACATACTGGTCACATCAGTCCTGTCAGATCAGTATTACATATAGGTCACACCAGTCCTGTAAGATCAGTATAACATATAGGTCACACCAGTCCTGTCAAATCAGTATTAAATACAGGTCACACCAGCTCTGTCAGATCAGTATTACATACAGGTCACACCAGTCCTGTCAGATCAGTATAACATATAGGTCACACCAGTCCTGTCAAATCAGTATTAAATACAGGTCACACCAGCTCTGTCAGATCAGTATTACATACAGGTCACACCAGCCCTGTCAGATCATTATTACATACAGGTCACATCAGTCCTGACAGATCTGAGAGACTGTATAACAGTTACAACAGTATTACATACAGGTCACACCAGTCCTCTCAGATCTGAGAGACTGTATAACAGTTACAAAAGTATTATATACAGGTCACACCAGTCCTGTCAGATCTGAGAGACTGTATAACATTTACAATAGTATTACATACAGGTCACATCAGTCCTGTCAGATCAGTATAACATATAGGTCACATCAGTCCTGTCAGATCAGTATTACATACAGGTCACATCAGTCCTGTCAGATCTGAGAGACTGTATAACAGTTACAACAGTATTATATACAGGTCACACCAATCCTGTCAGATCTGAGAGACTGTATAACAGTTACAATAGTATTACATACAGGTCACACCAGCCCTGTCAGATCAGTATTACATACAGGTCACACCAGCCCTGTCAGATCAGTATTACATACAGGTCACATTAGTCCTGTCAGATCTGAGAGACTGTATAACAGTTACATTAGTATTATATACAGGTCACGTCACATCAGTCCTGTCAGATCTGTATTACATACAGGTCACATTAGTCCTGTGAGATCTGAGAGACTGTATAACAGTTACATTAGTATTATAAACAGGTCACACCAGTCCTGTCAGATCTGAGAGACTGTATAACAGTTACATTAGTATTATAAACAGGTCACACCAGTCCTGTCAGATCTGAGAGACTGTATAACAGTTACATTAGTATTATATACAGGTCACACCAGTCCTGTCAGATCTGAGAGTCTGTATAACATTATTTATAGAACACTTGTATTGTCATGTAGATAATGGAGACATTCAAATTTTACATCTCCTCCACTGCTAATGTTTAATATTGCTCTGTTTGAGTACTCTGGTCCTAGACATCCTCTGTTTGAGTACTCTGGTCCTAGACATCCTCTGTTTGAGTACTCTGGTCCTAGACATCCTCTGTTTGAGTACTCTGGTCCTAGACATCCTCTGTTTGAGTACTCTGGTCATAGACATCCTCTGTTTGAATACTTTCGTCCTATACATCCTCTGTTTGAGTACTCTGGTCCTAGACATCCTCTGTTTGAGTACTCTGGTCCTAGACATCCTCTGTTTGAGTACTCTGGTCCTAGACATCCTCTGTTTGAGTACTCTGGTCCTAGACATCCTCTGTTTGAGTACTCTGGTCCTAGACACCCTCTGTTTGAGTACTCTGGTCCTAGACATCCTCTGTTTGAGTACTCTAGTCATAGACATCCTCTGTTTGAGTACTCTGGTCCTAGACATCCTCTGTTTGAGTACTCTGGTCCTAGACATCCTCTGTTTGAGTACTCTGGTCCTAGACATCCTCTGTTTGAGTACTCTGGTCCTAGACATCCTCTGTTTGAGTACTCTGGTCCTAGACATCCTCTGTTTGAGTACTCTGGTCCTAGACATCCTCTGTTTGAGTACTCTGGTCCTAGACATCCTCTGTTTGAGTACTCTGGTCATAAACATCCTCTGTTTGAGTACTCTGGTCCTAGACATCCTCTGTTTGGGTACTCTGGTCATAGACATCCTCTGTTTGAGTACTCTGGTCATAGACATCCTCTGTTTGAGTACTCTGGTCCTAGACATCCTCTGTTTGAGTACTCTGGTGCTAGACATCCTCTGTTTGAGTACTCTGGTCCTATACATCCTCTGTTTGAGTACTCTGGTCCTAGACATCCTCTGTTTGAGTACTCTGGTCTGGTACTCCTAGACATCCTCTGTTTGAGTACTCTTGTCCTAGAGACCCTCTGTTTGAGTACTCTGGTGATAGACATCCTCTGTTTGAGTACTCTGGTCATAGACATCCTCTGTTTGAGTACTCTGGTCATAGACATCCTCTGTTTGGGTACTCTGGTCCTAGACATCCTCTGTTTGAGTACTCTGGTCATAGACATCCTCTGTTTGAGTACTCTGGTCCTAGACATCCTCTGTTTGAGTACTCTGGTCATAGACATCCTCTGTTTGAGTACTCTGGTCCTAGACATCCTCTGTTTGGGTACTCTGGTCATTGACGTCCTCTGTTTGGGTACTCTGGTCATCAACATCCTCTGTTTGAGTACTCTGGTCATCAACATCCTCTTGTTTGAGTACTCTGGTCATAGACATCCTCTGTTTGGGTACTCTGGTCATAGACATCCTCTGTTTGAGTACTCTGGTCATAGACATCCTCTGTTTGAGTACTCTGGTCATAGACATCCTCTGTTTGAGTACTCTGGTCATAGACATCCTCTGTTTGAGTACTCTGGTCATAGACATCCTCTGTTTGAGTACTCTGGTCCTAGACATCCTCTGTTTGAGTACTCTGGTCCTAGACATCCTCTGTTTGAGTACTCTGGTCCTAGAGACCCTCTGTTTGAGTACTCTGGTTTTGGACATTTATTGTTTGAGTACTCTGGTCATAGACATTCTCTGTTTTAGTACTATGGTCCTAGACATCCTCTGTTTGAGTACTCTGGTCCTAGACATCCTCTGTTTGAGTACTCTGGTCATAGACATCCTCTGTTTGAGTACTCTGGTCCTAGACATCCTCTCTGCTTGAGTACTCTGGTCCTAGACATCCTCTGTTTGTACTCTGGTACTCTGTCTGTTTGAGTACTCTGGTCTAGACATCCTCTTGTTTGAGTACTCATAGACATCCTCTGTTTGTGTACTCTGGTCATAAACATCCTCTGTTTGAGTACTCTGGTCATAGACATTTGTTTGAGTACTCTGGTCATAGACATCCTCTGTTTGAGTACTCTGGTCATAGACATCCTCTTTGTTTGGTGTTTGAGTAGACATCCTGTACTCTGGTCATAGACATCCTCTGTTTGAGTACTCTGGTCATAGACATCCTCTGTTTGAGTACTCTGGTCCTAGACATCCTCTGTTTGAGTACTCTGGTCCTAGACATCCTCTGTTTGAGTACTCTGGTCATAGACATCCTCTGTTTGGGTACTCTGGTCATAGACATCCTCTGTTTGAGTACTCTGGTCATAGACATCCTCTGTTTGAGTACTCTGGTCATAGACATCCTCTGTTTGAGTACTCTGGTCATAGACATCCTCTGTTTGAGTACTCTGGTCATAGACATCCTCTGTTTGAGTACTCTGGTCATAGACATCCTCTGTTTGAGTACTCTGGTCATAGACATCCTCTGTTTGGGTACTCTGGTCATAGACATCCTCTGTTTGAGTACTCTGGTCATAGACATCCTCTGTTTGAGTACTCTGGTCATAGACATCCTCTGTTTGAGTACTCTGGTCATAGACATCCTCTGTTTGGGTACTCTGGTCATTGACATCCTCTGTTTGGGTACTCTGGTCATCAACATCCTCTGTTTGAGTACTCTGGTCCTAGACACCCTCTGTTTGAGTACTGTGGTCCTAGACATCCTCTGTTTGAGTACTCTGGTCCTGTACATCCTCTGTTTGAATACTCTGGTCATAGACATCCTCTGTTTGGGTACTCTGGTCCTAGACATCCTCTGTTTGAGTACTCTGGTCATAGACATCCTCTGTTTGAGTACTCTGGTCATAGACATCCTCTGTTTGAGTACTCTGGTCATAGACATCCTCTGTTTGGGTACTCTGGTCATAGACATCCTCTGTTTGGGTACTCTTAATAATTACATCCTCTGACTTATTAATGTGGTATATATAAGAGTTCAAATGATAAGATGTCACTCGTATCAGGTAAGTGCCTATCTTTCTTTAACTTTTATTTTAAACTTTCGCCCATACAACACATATGTGCAACTATTTTCATATAGAATATTGTGAAGGGCTCCTAAGTTTGTTCAAATGAATGACCTTGACCTACTTTCACAGTTACAGATGTCAAATATCTTAAAATTTTCAAACAACTTCTCAATAATTGAATGGCCAAGATTTTTGGTATTTGAACTGTAACATGCTAGAATGAAGGGCTACACATTTGTTAAAGTGAATGACATTGACCTGCTTTCAAGGTCACAGGTGCCAGATATCCTGAAATCTTCAGACAGCTTCTTCTGAATAATCTGAAAGTCCAGAGGTGTGATATTGGTCCTGTAACATGCTTGGATGAAGGACTACGAAGTTTGTTAAATAAATGACCTTGAGCCACTTTCAAGGTCAAAGGCGTCAAATGTGTAATAATATTCAAATGACCTCACTGTAATAGAAAGGCCCAGAGATATGATATTGGGTCTGTAGCATGCTAGGATAAAGGGCTACCCAAGTTTGTTCAAATAAAAGACCATGACTTTGAAAGTTGTAGGTGTCTAAGGTGTCGAATGTGTGAGTATTTGTGTACATTTTCAATTGGAATTACAAAACAGGTTGAAATTTTGTTGTCTAGGGGATTCAGTGTTTTGAAAGTTTAATTGAGGGCCCTAAGACTTTGATGCCTTGAAATTTCTGCAGTGTCCTTCAAATCCACACTTGCTACAAACAATACTTCAGGCTTTAATCTGTGTGCTAGATATTAGATAATGCAGTTTTGTTATGTTTGAGTTTGTCATTTATTCAAAACAGAAATTCAACTCAGGTGACGATTAAGGTCTGTGGGCCTCTTGTTTTTGCTGTTTCAGATAGTGATCAAGCGTCTGGGTACCTGGAGCACCTTCAGGCACGTCTGTGGGAACAGGGAGACCACTCTCAGGATGACGACATCACATCTATTATGGCTATGTTAGACAGTCCATTATTCCGGCAGCTCCTCACACTGCAAGAGTCCTTAACAGAACTTAAACAGGTTGCAAACACTTATCCTGTGAATGATGAAACATTTGAGATCTCTCTGACAGGGGAGTTAATCCTGAACATGCCTCCAGATAGCATCAACAGTAGTAACCATCATGAGCAGCCCTTCAGCGAGAGTATGGTGGATACCCTTAACTACACAGGGGTTGAGAACCCAATTGTGACTCCGGCTTACAACCTAGAATTCCAGAGGGCTCTGGAGCGGGCTTCCCAGGGCAGGCAAATAGAAATTATCAAACTTTTCAAGCCAGAGAACAGCAGTCTTGGCTTCAGTGTTGTGGGCCCCAAGAGAATGGAGAACCAGGTAGACATGGGAATCTATGTCCAGGAGATTCAGCCAGTAGGCATTGCTGCAAGGTAGGACCTCTCTTCTTTATATAGAGCTGTAACAGTTAATCACAGAATACTTACCTACCATTGTATAGCATTACAATATGGCAAGGAAACATCACATTGTAATTTTATTTATCAAAATCTTATTTGTGGTTTCAACAAATCCATCACAATAAGCACATCTATGAACATCTCACAATATATGTGTTTGGGCCATTTGATTTAGTGTTTAAAACTCCAATGATGTGCCATTGAGTTTGTGCCATACTATGATGAATCATCTGTTGTCTTGTCATCTGTTGTCCTTCTGTCGGTCATGTTCTAGAAAACTTTAAGTAACTGGGAACTGATATTTGAACGGAAAGTACCTGTGTTGAAGCATGCTATATTTTCCTTATTCCAATGACCTTGAGCTATTTTCAAGGTAACTGGAAACAAATATGTTTTAACTTTAAAGACAGATTCTTCTCTAGTTCCAAAACATTAAAGAATCAGTTTCCCAGTTTCACACATGACCCAGAGTCCAATTATTATGCCAGATAATACTTACAGAATAGACTGCTATGCATTTTCCTTGCTTGAATAACATTGACCTATTTTTAGGTATCAGGGTCAAGTATGACAAAAACAACTTTTTAAAATCATCTTGATTTTTACAGGAGAGTTAGTGTATAATAGATTTTACTTAATTAAATGATCTTCAAATTCACAATGGCCACTTATGCTGAAAATAATACACCTTTTCTTGAAATCATTACAGTATTTGTCATATCATGAAGACTCTATTTAATTTCTTCAATAAAAACTTGAACAAGGACTATAAAAAACATAATGATTATTTATTCTTATTATTTGCTTTAATATCCATAGACAGGCTCTTTGGGATTGTTTTTTTTTTTTTTTTTTTTGAAAATCTGTGTATCAACTACTGTATTATGGTTCTATCAAATGGAGGTGTGGAGTATCATCAGGGTGTAGGGGATTACATACTAAAACATTCAGTGAGTGTGGAGTATCATCAGGGTGTAGGGGATTACATACTAAAACATTCAGTGAGTGTGGAGTATCACCAGGGTGTAGGGGATTAAGTACTGAAACATTCAGTGAGTGTGGAGTATCACCAGGGTGTAGGGGATTAAGTACTGAAACATTCAGGATATGTGGAGTATCACCAGGGTGTAGGGGATTACATACTAAAACATTCAGTGAGTGTGGAGTATCACCAGGGTGTAGGGGATTAAGTACTGAAACATTCAGTGAGTGTGGAATATCACTAGGGTGTAGGGGATTAAGTATTGAAATATTAATGAGATGTTGTGTATCACCAGGGTGTAGGGGATGAAGTACTGAAAGATTCAGGGAGTGTAGAGTATCACCAGGGTGTAGGGGATTAAGTACTGAAACAATCAATAAGTGTGGAGTATCACCTGAGTGTAGGGGATTAAGTACTGAAACATTCAGGATATGTGGAGTATCACCTAAGTGTAGGGGATTAAGTGCTGAAACATTCAGTGAGTGTGGAGTATCACCAGGGTGTAGGGGATTAAGTACTGAAACATTCAGTGAGTGTGGAGTATCACCAGGGTGTAGGGGATTAAGTACTGAAACATTCAGTGAGTGTGGAGTATCACCTAAGTGTAGGGGATTAAGTGCTGAAACATTCAGGGAGTGTGGAGTATCACCTGAGTGTAGGGGATTAAGTGCTGAAACATTCAGTGAGTGTGGAGTATCACTTGAGTGTAGGGGATTACATACTAAAACATTCAGGGAGTGTGGAGTATCACCTGAGCGAGGGGATTAAGGACTGAAACATTCAGTGAGTGTGAAGTATCACCAGGGTGTAGGGGATTAAGTACTGAAACATTCAGGATATGTGGAGTATCACCTAAGTGTAGGGGATGAAGTACTGAAACATTCAGGGAGTGTGTAGTATCACCTGAGTGTAGGGGATTAAGTACTAAAACATTCAGTGAGTGTGGAGTATCATCAGGGTGTAGGGGATTACATATTAAAACATTCAGTGAGTGTGCAGTATCACCAGGGTGTAGGGGATTAAGTGCTGAAACATTCAGGGCGTGTGGAGTATCACTTGAGTGTAGGGGATTACATACGAAAATATTCAGTGAGTGTGGAATATCATCTGAATGTAGGGGATAAAGTACTGAAACATTCAGGATATGTGGAGTATCACCAGAGTGTAGGGGATTAAGTGCTGAAACATTCAGTGAGTGTTGAGTATCACCAGGGTGTAGGGGATTAAGTACTGAAACATTCAGTGAGTGTGCAGTATCACCAGGGTGTAGGGGATAAAGTACTGAAACATTCAGGATATGTGGAGTATCACCAGAGTGTAGGGGATTAAGTGCTGAAACATTCAGTGAGTGTTGAGTATCACCAGGGTGTAGGGGATTAAGTACTGAAACATTCAGTGAGTGTGGAGTATCACCTAAGTGTAGGGGATTAAGTGCTGAAACATTCAGGGAGTGTGGAGTATCACCTGAGTGTAGGGGATTAAGTGCTGAAACATTCAGTGAGTGTGGAGTATCACTTGAGTGTAGGGGATTACATACTAAAACATTCAGGGAGTGTGGAGTATCACCTGAGCGAGGGGATTAAGGACTGAAACATTCAGTGAGTGTGAAGTATCACCAGGGTGTAGGGGATTAAGTACTGAAACATTCAGGATATGTGGAGTATCACCTAAGTGTAGGGGATTAAGTACTAAAACATTCAGGGCGTGTGGAGTATCACTTGAGTGTAGGGGATTACATACTTAAACATTCAGTGAGTGTGGAGTATCATCTGAGTGTAGAGGATTAAGTACTGAAACATTCAGGGAGTGTGGAGTATCACCAGGGTGTAGAGGATTAAGTGCTGAAACATTCAGGGCGTGTGGAGTATCACTTGAGTGTAGGGGATTACATACGAAAACATTCAGTGAGTGTGGAATATCATCTGAATGTAGGGGATAAAGTACTGAAACATTCAGGATATGTGGAGTATCACCAGAGTGTAGGGGATTAAGTGCTGAAACATTCAGTGAGTGTGGAGTATCACCAGGGTGTAGGGGATTAAGTACTGAAACATTCAGGGAGTGTGGAGTATCACCTGAGTGTAGGGGATTAAGTACTGAAATATTAATGAGGTGTGGAGTATCACCAGGGAGTAGGGGATTAAGTACGGAAACATTAATGAGGTGTGGAGTATCCCCAGAGTGTAGGGGATTAAGTACTGAAACATTCAGGAAGTGTGGAGTATCACCTGAGTGTAGGGGATTACATACTGAAATATTAATGAGGTGTATAGGGGATTAAGAGATTTAATTTGTTACAATAACCTTTTTAACAAATTGGGATGTATTTGAGGTGATATAGTAAGCCAACTTGTAACAAAACCATTTGTAATAAATGAACTTTTTTTATTCTGTCAAATACAAAGCAATGTCCAGTTTACCAAAGTGAGGATCTGCAACCCCTCAATAACAGAATTACTGCCCTTTGTTAAAATTTTGTTGCTGGAACATAACTTTGCTTGTATTAAAACTGGGATAATGAAACTTTTATGCATTGGTCATACTAAGAGGATGTACAGTACACCAGACTCAGTGCCTGAAACCCAATATTTATAGAATTATTGCCCTTTCTTAAAATTTTTGTCCAATAAAATTGTTTTTTGAGTGTATTCATCAGTTTACTGATACTCTTGTCTAGGAAGTGAGATTCTTCCATCAAATTTATTTTCTTTAGTAATTAAAATGGATTTATGTCTTCATGCTCTTGAATACCCGGGCGTGCCTGTCTATTGAGGTAATTAAGTGATTGTATCAGTTACCAATTAAATGGTTGTATCAGTTACCCGACACAAATTAGTTTATCACACTTTGATGTGACTTCATCTGGATGATAATTCAGTGTTTTGAATGTAAAACAATCCAGCCAAAATTTACATTCTGTTTTTTTAACATGATAACGATCAGTATTGCCAGCTCGTCCGCTTTCCTCAGGTTATACCGGTATTTAGACGGCCGTCAGTGATTTACCCATTTGACAGGTCAGGTTATCAAATAACCTGCGTTTTCACTCAAGATTACTTGCTTTGGAATACCTCAAGATAGTCTTGCTCAACCAGACTCTTGTTGTCAGTACACCTGCATATACCATGATCAAGCATTTGATTGAGCTAGACCAGGATATTAGATATAATGGCATAATGAGAGAGACAGAGAAACCTTTGTTTAAAAAAGATGGATAAGTTTGATTTGTTTTGAAGATGTAGACATTTCCTATTGTAAGTGATTGCTGCCAGAGGCTGCTGAAGTCAACAGGTTTAAGATTTAAGAAACTTTTTTTTTTTTAGATAATCCCAATTTATCTAGTCTGGAAGTTTTAAGCTTCATTACACTGGACTAAGATATGTTTAACTGTGTGTCAATATGAGGGTTATAGAATTGTTGCTACCCATTTTAATGTTAGCAGGTCATGGCTGAATTGGGACAATATTTACCAGTTAATAAACATTTTAGAAAGTTTCCACCAGAAGTATCCATAATCTTTTGTCTTAAGTGTTGGGGACAAGATTTTTAGCTCACCTGGCCCAATGGCACAGTGTCTGTTATCAGGCTGTCATCCATTGTTAGTATGGCATCAACTTTTCCATTTAAATGACTTCTTCTCAATAAGCAGCAAACCAAATGTCATGGCATTTGGCAAGTGTACATAGACCTTTTACTGTATTCACAGCCAGATTGAACAGCTGTTGATGGTCATCATTTTTCGACTGAACAACTGTGTTTTATGAAATGCTAAATGTAAAGAGAGATGTAGAGTGATTTATTTAAATCATTACCTTGTATTATTACTTCACAAATAAAATCAACAGTTATTCATAGTAATAATGTTACAAATCTATCATCAGTTCACATGAACAAATCTATCATCAGTTCACATGAACAAATCTATCATCAGTTCACATGAACAAATCTATCATCAGTTCACATGAACAAATCTATCATCAGTTCACATGAA